CACAACTGTGACAAGCCATTCAGCCCAGAGCTGCATGTACGTACATTGTTTTTCTTAGATAGTTTGGATGGTGGTTCCTCACAAAACCATTCACTGATACATTTCATCCACCGGGGTTACTGCTGTATTTCAAACTTTTTTTCTAATAAGACAACGGTAAAAATTGTCCTGACGTGAAGAGTTAGGAATATATACGGATGGATTTGCCAATGACAGTAAATTGATTTGCAGGAAGAGAGGGAAAGAGGAGTGACAATGGATATTGCTCGGACAACTTTTGAGACGGAACATCGAAAGATTGCTGTTTTGGATGCGCCAGGCCATAAGGATTTCATTCCGAATATGATCACTGGTATTTTTCAGAGATTTTTTTGTAGATTGCCAATTTTTTTAATTTGGGTTCCCACGGTTTCGACCATTCTGTTCAGTCCTTTCATATTATTGGTAATTCATTCCGAATGCTTTTATTTTACACATGAAATGGAATATTGAGATGGTTTTGTTATTTTTTGAAAGACTCTAGTCACTGTATACTTACTTGAATACTTGAACAGCAGCTGTATGTCATCGACGTTCGTTGTTGTGCCATCGATGCAGCACTGGCAACTTCTCCATTCGATACACTGTTGTGCTTTCCGAATCCACGCGATACCGTACAGGCCTGCCATAGGGTTTCTTCACCTCACTGGTGACCTTCCCAATCATTGTATATGCAGCAAAAAATGACGCCTAAAATTTCAACACTCTCTACAGTCGCGTCATGTACGTAGAGTGTTACAGCAATTTTTATAGGCGCTGCTCAGGCAGATGCTGGTATCCTGGTCATTAACGCAACACGTGGCGAATTTGAAACTGGCTTTGATCAGGGTGGTCAGACCAGGGAACATGCAATGCTTCTCAGATCGTTGGGTAATTTGCCTTTTTTTGGAAACGTTTCATTAACATTTTCCGCTCTTTGCTTCTGAGCAATTTTCGAAGACTGCTATATTGTTGCACTGTGAGGTGAGTCAGCATCGTGGGTTTTTTTTTTTTTCTAAGGAGTTTTAGATTGACAATAAGGCTTTTTTGCCTTGGTGATAAGTTGGTTGGTGTTCTGAGAAATGTCAGTTATCGAGATAGCTGTCCCAAAACAAAGGAGGCGCTGAAACTTGCACTTCATCCACATTCATCATGAATAGCGGGCATTGGAGGGATAAAAGTGACCGCG